GGCCATTTAAATCTGTGACCTGGTACCACATGTCAGGCTGCCAAACACAGCTTTGCCACACCTAGAAGCTGAATACCACTCATCATGAAACATAATTCAAAAAAATTCAAGTATATAGAGAGGAGCTGGCAAAATAACCAAAATAGACGATAAAGAACAATGCATTTAAGTACCAATAGAAAGTGTGCAAGATTAGCTACTGGTGTATAGCTGGCGAAAGATGGAAAGCCACAGACAACTGGGGCGACCGTGGTTCAGGGGGTTGGGAAGCTCATCTGTAACCAAAAGGTCGCCGGTTTGATCCCCCAGCTCTCTCTGTCCTGGTCGTTGTGTCCTTGGGCAAGACACTTCACCTACCGCCTACTGGTGTTGGCCAGAGGGGCCGATGGTGCGATATAGCAGCCTCGCTTCTGTCAGTCACAGGGCAGCTGTGGCTACACCTGTGGTTTGCTTGCACTAGTGTGTGAATGAATAGTAGAATTGTAAAGCGCTTTGGGTGCCTAGAAAAGCTCTGTATAAATGCAATCCGATATTAACTACAGATAATAAAACATTATGAAATATTTAAATGTTTGCTTGAAAAGCCAATCTCCAGCAGAAAAGTTCTATGAAAGACCTGTCAGGTGTATTAATGATTAATCAGACTGATATCGATTTTGTTGGTGGAACAAATGTACAAATTTTACAGTCTTGCTATTTACGCTTTACTCAACTGTTTGTCTTCCCTAGAATAGAGTTCATCAATCTGTCAGAGAACATGAGTCACTGTGAGCCCCTGTAATTATCTTCAGTTACACCTGCTACACATGCGCATATCTTGGATCTGTCTGGATTATTCACTAAGCTAGGGCGAGGCGATGATAGGTGTGTAAAGAAAAACAAAGTCAATGCATCTGATGTGTTTCAAACATTAGCCCTTGAGTGGTGCTGGATTAAATGTTACAAATAACGTGATCTTGGATATTAAGGCCCATAACGGATGCTGACTATGCCCATGAACATTTTCTGGACATGTAAGTTCAATTACCCCAACAACAACTCTTCTGTATTAGACGGGACTGACTCACCTCTTTGGGCATGTTTCTGGGGAAGAAGAGGTAAGGTAGTGCAGTGAGAAAGAGGATGCACGAGGCTACCAGGAAGCCAAGCCACCATGCTCCCACCCAGCGCAGGTCTGTAGTGTCCAACTCGATCTCCTCTGGAAACAGAAGAGAACACAAATCATGAAATCCATGCAAAGAATCCATCCATCCATTGTCTTCCACTTATCAGGGTCAGGGGGGCCAAGAGTCGAGGTGAAGCCTGGACAGGTCGCCAGTCTGTCGCAGGGCTAACACAGAGAGACAGATAACCATTCGCACTAACATTCATGGACAATTTAGAATAATCAGTTAACCTAACCCCACTACATGCATGTCTTCGGACTGTGGGAGGAAGCGGGAGTACCCGGAGAGAACCCACGCACACTTCACACAGAGAGGCCAGATGGTGAGTCAGACTAAGCACTGCACCACTGTGTTGCCACATGCAAAGAATACAATAAATTATCAATACATGTAATCCAACATAGGGTTAATCCACTGCCAGCCCATAAGCCTATGATCCATCCAAGTACATATCCAAAAATTCTTATATAGGTGCAATATTTACGCTGCTTTGACCTTTAAACTCCAAACCAAT